CATGGGATTCTTCATAGGTTGTGCCTCCACCACAGTGCGGGCGAACAGCTCTGCTTCCTGTACGGGGCTTCAATCTCTGGAATCCATAGAGGACCGTAGCTGGTATCATGTATCACTCTTTGTCTCCGGCTCAGAATGGCCAAAGCAACAGTCTACAAACACGAGATGTTGTATGTCAAGCACACTCGGGCCCAGTCAACCTCCCAAGCTGCTACAACAAAAGCTGCAAAATAACCAACCAGCAGGACCCAGGCTGGACAATCTCACACTGCAGGGCCTCACACGCAGATTTGGAAAAAAATACCCTGTGAAAACAGTGCCTCGCCACTTGGAATGCCTGCAGGCAGCACGTCCCAAACTCCAATACCAGTTTTTCAACGGTGCTTGGCATCTTCAGATCATGTCCGACCATGAAAATTCCTCAGAGACCCGCCAGGATGTGTCTGCGGTGCCCGGTCTTTGAGTTCTGAGTGCAGGCCTTAGAGATGAAGCGAGCATAGGAACCAATGGAATCTTCTAATATCCACCCTTACTTCAGTCTCAACCCTCCTGGCAGGCTTCCGATGCTATCACTATGTGGGCCCACAAACCCAATCTGAGGTCCCTGTCATTGACACTTCGCGCGCCATCGCAACAGCACGCAGAAGTGACGTGCTGCAGAAGCCAGGTCCTAGTGTGCTCAATTGCACTTTTAAAATGGCTGTCTTTCAATACATAAAATAGTCTATAGTTAATATTCCAATTGTAACATATTGTAACATGAGGTTTGTCATGGTATCCAGGTGTGTTCAATTTTCTCTTGCCGGCCTGGCGCTTTGCAGATTGCGCTTGCAAACCGTGTCCCAAATGCACTGCAGCAACGAAGCCCGCTGCACCGCAGCGCCTGAGTGATCATTCTTCTTGTGCAAATTTTGCTACCGCAAAACTACCCGCAGTGCCCAAATTGAGGCAGCTACAGCTGGGCTTTCCCATTGAACAAAAATGAACACACCAATTAAACAACTCAGCACGCTCGGTCTCTGCCTTCCTGATTCTTCCACATTCATTCCTCGATGCCCGAGAATCCCAGGATCTTCCTCTCTACCTTGCTTACCAAGCGACCAAATGTGTGCGGCACGTGTGCGAGGAATTGAGGTGCGATTCTTTTGAGAGCGTGAGCTGAGCATGTAGCCTGAGCACAAGAGCGGCTTGTCACAGGGTTTCTCTCTGCGCCAGTCTTGTCCAGAAATTCCTACAGTCGAATCAAGTAGATTCTTCAAACTCCATGCTAGCTATGGACCATGTCAATGTCTATGAGCTGCTAAAGTGTTGATCAAACCTTTGGTGAGGTACTGAAAGTTGAACCTCTTGAATGGAATCATTTTGAGGTCAATTTCATCTGAAGCCTTCAAGCGCACGTCTTGTAGACTCTGGCATTGCCATGATGGTCTGCTGTCGCTGTTGCCAAGGCCTTATGGCTGTCTGCTCAAGCGAAAATAGAAGCAAGTAAAACGACAAACGTACTGCTATTAGATTGTGACACTTCAGATTTCTGCTTGTATTGAATCTTGATGCATGCTCAATTGAAGAATAAATAAAGCCAAAATGCAAAGACTGAAGCAGCAGGTGCAGCTTCCGCAGTTTTCCAGATTTTGGTTTGACTGCTCGGCCAATCCTTGAGAAAACAAACCGGCAACGCTCGGCTTCTAAAGTTCGTAAGGCTTGGAGCATTGCCGGGATGAATGCATGTGGCCGTCACTACTTGGTGTCGCTCCTGCACGTATGATACGTGTGTGGTGGACTTGCCGACCTGCCGGACAACATGTCCTAGCGGGATGCATGATGATGCAGCGTGTCCAAATGCTTTCCACTAAATAAAAGGTATCAGTGTCAGTTGGATGTTATACAAACATGTCACAGCGAATCAAGCTCATGTCCTCATAAATGGCAGTAAGCTGCAGGAGATGAGGGTTTCTGGTAAACTTTCGACCTTGGCCCTGCCAGTGGTGCCATACCTTAGGTCAAATCAAGATCTGCGACATGACCTTCGTAGCACTGCAACATCAACACCGAGAAGCCTCAATCACATCTCTCTGAAAGGCTTCGTCGATCTCTTCCTCTCGACTGGCTGCAATGGCAAAACGTGCACACAAACACACATGTAGTTGCAGGAAGTTTCCATGAGGTACAGTATGTAAAGTAGCACTGGTGAGTTGCACATGCTCGGACACACGTGTGCATGAGTCCGCTTGCGGACATGAACATCAAGGCAAATGGGAATGGAGTTTGAGTAAACGAAGCACAATGGCGCGACATTCCATTCAGGATGCGATGGAAGGGCTGTGGGCGGTCCGGTAATGCGTTTGGCCCATGGGGGAACAGAATCAAAAGATTCAAAGGCACCTGCCCAGTGTGGGTCTCCTCATCAAATCAGGATGAGTGTTGGCCACATGCTGCCCTGTTGACCAAGCTCATATTTGGGAGCTGCCACTTGTGACCTTTGTTGTTCGACTTTCCATCAGCAAGCCTGTAGCTGGCTTCCAGCTGGCCTCTCTTTTCCAGTGGCATTCTTTCACTGAACCCAAACATCTGTGACCTCTCGGCGGCTCCAAATGTACACACCATATCCCTCCCATCGCTGTGCAATCAGATTAACCGCATGGGTGGTCGTGTTCAGCGGCTTTCAGAAGTTCACACAATTCATCCCACGCAAGAATGAGCACATCCTAGTCTAATCTTTGCACGGGAAGCGGCCAAAGTAGGAAGAAACGGAAAGAGTAAAGGCGAAAGAAACAGTGTGCCCACCAAAGGCACAAACACATTGGCACGTATATAAATGGCACAATCATTGTAAATCCTACAAAGTTCAGGTTTCCACTCCGGATGTTGGTAACAAATCCGCACCGAGGCTGTCTGCTGCAGTCCTGAGCTGCGTCTGGCCGAAGACGCAGAAGGGCAAAAGAAGCCGGTTTGCCTGGAGGAACTGAAGAACTGATAGCGTCCTTGCTCCTAGTAGCGATGCCCTTTGTTCCTAGTAGGGTCCTTGCTCCTAGTAGTAGGGCCAGGAGCCCCTAGTAGCTTCTTGTTACCAGTAGAAAAGCACTGAGCCATGCTCAATAGTGTCAATGCAACTGACGCCTGACTCACGTCGGGTCATTAAAGCGAGATCGCCTTCCCACGTCAACTCCTCAGTTGGTTGGAACATTTCTGTGCCTGACAAGGCCGTGTTGTTCATTCTTCCTTGCTCGCGAAGCTCCACCAGAACTTGCTGCCAAGAATCCATTAACGACGTGGGAAGGCATAGCTACGGCGACGCTCACGGCGACGGCTACGCTCGTTGCGGTCGCGTGCCAGTGGGGCATTGCACAATGGCTCCACAGCGAACATCTCCTGTAGCAGCAAAGCTCTGGCGAAGAAATCCGCACACGCTGAAACCCTTGAAACACCATGACACACACACACACATCTACAGTAAATGTGATCACAGAACACCACAAACAATCTTTCAAGCGTGATATTTTTGGACAAACATGTTCTTTAGTTACCAGTAGCTTCTTGTTACTAGTAGTAATGACCTTGCTACTAGTAGCGATGCACTTGTTAGTAGCGATTGAAGTGCGTCCTCAAAAGCAACATCCATTGGCTGGGTCTTGAAGAGTGCCATGATGTTCCTCATGTCAAAGGCAGCTCAAATAGACTGCTTGCCCTCCGACTCACTAACATGGAAGTGGAACATGGATGCTTGGATGATCCCCGCTGAGATTCAGGTGGAGAGGCTGGGATCCCTATTTGGTAGACGATCTCACCAACATCGAACTCTAAAAAATGACCCTAAAAGTTTGTGGCCATTTGGTAGAGAGCTACCTGGAGGATCATTCACAAATACAAATTGGAGGAGAGGAGTCCAAGGCCACTGTGAACTACAAAATGGCTTGCCGGCGCTGCGCATAAGACGAGGTGCTCATTTTGTAGTAAACATGCATGAGTATGAGTATACGTTTCCAAGCACTCGCAAATCATGACTGATTTCCTATCTTCCTGATCATCCCTCATGATTCTCTGCTAAATGATCTATATAAATGCAGGACCTCCTCTAAAGAATGAAAGTAAATGAACCCATCCACTGAAGCAAAGTGGTTACATCCGTGCCGCATGCCTGTTTGCAACAAACATAATGTGTGGTCCCGACCTAGGGGGTTACGCATCGTTACGCAGAAGCATTCTCCGCTACAAAATGGTCGGTATGGGGTTAACCCACGGCATTCCGTAAGCTTAATGTCATCTCGGATCTCGGATGACTGTTCTTTACGAACGTGGCTTCCACGTACATGTTAGTATCGCAGTGTGGCACTTAATAAACGGCTTGAAGGTGTTTGAGCTGCTCTACCGAGCTTGCCTAGTGACTAGTAGCCACCTTCCAAACATTTCCTGCGTGACAAACTTGGGAACTGTTTTGAAGTCCCTGGGAGCAACGAAGCTTTCTACATGTACCGGTCACATACCTGATGGGCAAAAGCCTAAAGCAGCATAGTAGAGGCAGCACAGTTGGCAGCGCATCAAGGGCACAGGGCCTTGTGGGCTTTTCTTGCTGCTTCCAAGCTGCGGGGTCGAAGGAGTCAAAGCTCCCAAATGACAACTGCAAACTCACTGAGAAGGCTGCTGAGACAAATGCTTTAATGACACTTTAGTGAAAAACAATGACGCCACCTAGTAATGACTCGCGCCCAACTGCACGTGTCCTACATACGTTATGCCAAATGTGGTCCTGATACTTCGTGATTCATTACACAGTCACTTCGTGATTCATTACACAGTCGGACTCCTTTTCTCTACGCCCACCAACTATGGCTCCTCCCCTGCCAGTTTCAGCGATTGCGGAAGTTGAAGTTTGCCTTGCAGTGGCAAATTGCTTGACCAACTTCCTACCCCCTAGCCGCCCCAACACGCATATGCAACAATGTCATCAAACTGCTAAATGTGAACTGGACTCCCAGGTTGAGGGTCAAAAGCACCATTCTTTTTCGACCGTTGCCTTCACTGCCTGTGGGCTGCAAATGGTTGCAGCCGAGAACAAATCGCAGGGGAGCCTGCAGCAGTTTTGTCGCCATGAATCTATACGGCATTGCATATAGACCCAAGCTGCATTCTCGCAGCACAATGTCAACACTTTGTGTATGTCTCCAAATGTGCTTGCATGAGCCAACTCCAATGACACGAAAGGGCCCCAAAACTTGCTGTCCATCTTTGGGAGCAGCTTCACCTTGCCGATTCAGCCCACAGTCCCAGTGGTCATATTCTGCCATTGTGCCACTATGTTGCAAATGATGTATATAGTGAGCCTGAATGTCACGGAAAGATAGTGTGCAACCTCAGTTCAGTTTTTTCGATCCAACCCGTTGTCCCCACCACACTCTGGATCGCCCCAAGCAACAACACTTCCATCCGATCTGATTGCAGCAAACGCTGCAAAGGATCCAACAATGTACTCAACATCTGTGAGGGGCTGAACTGCAGAGCTGTCCCCTCCTCGAGATGCATCACCCCAGGTCACAACTTCTCCGGTGGCCAAAATTGCAGCGAACGCGCCGCTGGAGGCATAAAGCTCTTCGACACCTTGCAATCTTGCTTTCACCGAATCTGCCATATGGCCACCGAACCTGGTAGACCCCCATGTGACTACTGACCCATCTTCTAGAAGGGCTGCAAACGCAGCTGAAGTGCCCGCGATGGTTCGGACATGTTGGATTTGGACATCGCAAGCCCCACCTGCATCCCTGGCACCCCATGTTACAACTATGCCATCCGCACGAACAGCAGCAAAAGCACCAAATGTCGAATAGATTCGCTCCACGTGTTTCAGCTGATCTTGGACATGAGCACTGTCACCCCCACGAACCCGGTTGCCCCAAGTAACAACGCTGCCATCCTGGCAGATTGCTGCAAAAGCTCCGTCACAGGCTTCAATTTCTTTCACACCTGTCAAGCGATGTCGCACTCGAGAGCTATTTCCTCCAAACCGGGGATCTCCCCATGTAATCACCTGTCCATCAGACCTTTTGGCTGCAAAGGCAGTCCCACACGCTTGCAACTCCTCAATGTCATACAGTTCGTGCTGCACATCAGGAGGAACAACACCTCCACATGAGGACATGCCCCATGCGACAACACTTCCGTCAACACGAACAGCAGCAAAAGCGGCTGCTGAGGCACAAATCTGCCGCACCATGAGCCGCTTTAGCTCTTCAGATCCGCCCTTTGAAGCTTCCTGCAGAAGGCTCCCAACAGAATTCACACATCTGCCGCCGAAGGAAGGGTCGCCCCAAGTGGCCACTGTACCGTTCACATGGAGCGCAGCACAAGCACCTGAGTTTACTCGGACCTCTTGGATCTGTTCCAAACAGGTGTTGCAGCTTCCACCTCGGTGACAATCTCCCCAAGCGACTACTGAACCATCAAACTTGATCATGACAAATGCTGACGCAGTTCGACCGGACACCACCTTGACAGGCTTAGCTGCAGCTGTCATTATCTGCCCACTCTGCACACCAGCATCCCTCATGGATTGGCCAGGCTGTAGGATTCCCATTGGGCTAACCAAACAACGCAGCGGCATATTCAGCTTACGTTCCGCTCGCTCCTTCAATTCTGCAACTGTGTCATCCATCTTTGCGCTGACTGATGCAGTCTTCCCACTAAGTAGTACAATTTCAATGGTCAATGCTGAGGATTCCGGCATTGATGGAAGCTCGCCAGCACCGCGAGCAGCACTTGCACGAACACTGACAACCAAAAGCTAATTGCTTCGAAACTGTCTGGACCGGTTTCGAGCCTGAATCCCAAGCATGAACAATGAAAAGATCCAATAATTCTTCATTAACTCTCTTCATTTCCATTCTCTAGGCATTAGCTGAGAAAGTTAACATAATCTAAGAAAGGTCTACTCTGGAACAGGACGTTGAAAGTTGACCTTGACTCACAGTAAACCCACATCTGTAGTATTCATCAATATTTTGTAATTCTGAAGCTGCCCTGGCTGGAATTCCAAGAGCTTATTCCAGAGTCATGCATCTGGGGTTTTCGATGCTGACACCTTCACACTGCCACATGTACAATATATATATATATATATACATATGTAGAAGAGAGGGGAGCGCTGTGAGCGGCGCGTTTTTCGATGAAAATGAGCATTTTTCAACCTTTTTCATGCGTTTTCTTGAGAATGATTGATGTGTCTGACATTGCCTGGAAGGATCTGCCTGGAAGCGCCCAGATGTTATTCAGTAAGATCGGTCAAGTAAGATCGGATAAGAAACATTACAAATTGTTATCACACAATCACCCAAACATTCAATGCTGGTGGTGGTGAAATTAATATGAATATTGTAAAATCATCTTCTAAACTGACTGGAGCATTCATTACCTTATTTAGAACTCCAAGGAGTGGTGAAGAACTGAACCGATACTTACCTGACAATTATGTATATAAGAGATGGAATTAATCCTATGATCTATGGAAGAATTAATGATACTGGTAATGCTGATACAAATGACTTACAAGGTACAAAGGTTTTCAAGATGCCACCCGTAGTTTAAGTTGGCAAATTCAATTAAGCAATTCCCAGAAATACACAGAATTTGAAGCGCAATCATTATCATAAATCTTTTATTATTTAAGAAGAGCTATACAGTACATGACAGTTTAAGTTTTTCGTATCGTCAATACAGAAAGAACAAATTCATTATTGGTATGTCATTTGAAAAAATTGCAGATGTCAATTTTACTGGTTATAATTCTAAAATGTCAGGTATTACCAATTTTCGAGTTAAAGGAGCAGAAGGAGCATTATTAGACCCTAATGAACAAATCACTGAGGGTTTCAGAGACTGTTCTGGATTTGAGAGAAAGTGGTAGTATTGTCTACTTCCAAGGAAATTGAAAATTTAAAACATCCCAGGAAATCAAAAAATCCAAAATTCCAATTTTCCAAAATTCCAATGTTCCAAAAAAACCAAAAAAAACAATTCTGCACAAACCATGGGGGGAAGAGGGGGTGAGGCAAAGTCCTGGCACAATTGGTTTTTTTGTTTTTTTTGGTTTCTTTGGTTTTTTTGGAAAATTGGAATTTTGGAAAATTGGAATTTTGGAAATTACCTTTGGGGGAGGGGGGGGGTTGAGGCAGAATAGTATTCTTTCAGTGGCACAAAAATCAATAGAAACGCAATACAAATATAGAAACAAAATACAAACAAAATGAAACAATGCAAAAACGCGCCGCTCAGAGCGCTCCTTTCTGATGTAGAATTATATACAGTAAATCTAAATATTTTTCCTCCAAGGGGCTGGGTAGGAGGTTTGATTTGTTGAACTTTCTAGGTTGCTCAAATACAGTAAATCTAAATATTTTTCCTCCAAGGGGCTGGGTAGGAGGTTTGATTTGTTGAACTTTCTAGGTTGCTCAAGTGAAAGAACGCCAAAACGTTTGAACAGGTTCAATTCCAAACGTTGTGCTAATTATATACCTACCTTTCTTTGTAGTGGCCAATTCCCTTTGCCAGCCTGAAGTTCATAAGTTCATGCTGAACTCGGATGTCCAGCCTCGGTGTTGAAGTGGTTTGCAGGAAGCTGGTTTGGAATGCAAACTCGAAGCAGCATCATTTCATTTCTCCATCATCTTGACAAAAGCATCTTTGCGATCTCTCGCTGCAAGCAGGTGTCCCTCACTCATGCTGCTGTGCCGAACTTTGCCATCTTTCGCAAAATGGCATGAGTGCTGGCCGTCCAATGGGTACTTGAGCCACATAGCTTCAAGATTCCACACTAAAACAGCCAAACATCTGGTAACACGTCAGAACTTGTTCATCAGAACAACAACAACTACTACCACAAAGTTTCCACCTCCAAGGTTGACATCACTAGAAGTGATATGACACACCTGCCTGTGCAGACTTTGCAGCACTTATCGGCAAGCCGGTCCAGGCAGTAATCTGCTCCTCAAAGGTACAAAGCCATGTCTGTACCAGAAGTACGATAAAGCTGAATGGAACAAAGCGACTTAAATCTTCCTGGACGCAATAAAAGAACGAATATATAGAACATTAAAGTTACTAGTAATATGGCCAGGAGCCCCTAGTAGCGTCCTTGCTCCTAGTAGCGATGCCAGGAGCCCCTAGTAGCGCCTGGTTTCGATGCCTCCGAATACTGAAATTTCTTGTGAGTCTGGACTCAAAGGAACGCAAACGTTGTCTACGAGGAGTCCTGCTGCTGTGCTGTGAAACACTCGGCAGCTTGATCCAAAGCTTCGGCAAAACCATCTGCGGCTGCCTTCAAACTATTCGATGTTCAACAGAAAGAAGTAATGAAAAACCATCCCAACAGCATTTTGCACACTTCGCCTTGGACCTCTTTCACCTTAAAAACTTCAAAGCATACAGTCTTGTTGCTTTCAATTATGTGTTGTACAGTCTCACAGCTTCTCACGGACAAATGTAATCTAAGATGCCTAACAAAAACCCGATCAAACTCGTAATGTCACCAACTATCCTCGGTACGAAGCCTGATCAGCCTCGGACAATGACTCGAGGAAGTCTGGCAAACCCATGATTTCGAACAGCTGAATGCCTCCAGTTAGGGAAAAATAGTAGTCACAGTCACATGCTGTGGCATGTCTTGTAAAACATTGTGCACATTGTAAGAACAAGATTCAGACTTGCGAGATCTCGCTTGCTCCTGACTATGCAACAAGTCAAGCAGGGTTTGTCCACAACAATGTTTGGAACTCAGCTTGGGTTTTGCCACTTCAACGATGTCATGTATTGAATGTGTTGACACTCACAGAACGCACAGAACATAGGAGGCATGGCCACATGTCACATCTTCTGCATGGCAGGAAGTCTCCTGGACATATCTTTCATTTGCCGCAAAGCTCTGGTTATGCAGCCCACTTCTGATTTGAGTGGTGGAGGCTGGCACATCAGGGAAACCAAATGAGCGGATTGTGGAATGCCGTTGACCAATAGAGCATGGCAACTGACATTAACTGGGTGACTACACGTATCTATAGCTGGGATGCAAAGGTGAAAAGTGCTCAGGCCGCTTCCTTGAAGAACCCTTCGCATGATTGATTTGGTTCCAAGCACAACAAAGCCAAGTGCAAACACACAGCCGTCGACCTTCTTCGGGGCATTGTGTGCGGCAGTTTTTGGCTGCATTGGCTTTGACATAGGAAGTCCTGGTGAACCTCAGCATCGGCGAACTGTGAGTTAGCCTGGGAGGTTTAACAATTAATTCAACATGATTCAACATTTGCAAACACGTGCAAGCCGATTTCCCCTGGTGGCAGTGGCAATGATTGTGAGTTCAATGACCTTGTTTACCTTTTCAACTTTGACATCGTGGGGTTCATTACCACATACAAGATAAGTTTCCCTAAAAATCTAGGAACCAAATCATCAGTGCCAGCGCTTCTTCAAGGAAGCTTCCCCCCCGCCCTCAGGCGGGGAGAGCTTCCTTGAAGAAGCCTGAAATGCTGCGCTCTCAAGTGCCTGCAGAATGAGAGGTGTGCCTAGCCAGGCTGGACAGGTCAAAGACCCCGCCTGGCAGCAGGTATGCAGCAGGTATGTGCAGAATGATTTCTGCTTCCTCGCTCCATGGTTGAATGCAACTTGTGAACTGTTGAGTGCTTACTTGTGTTCTCGACAAATTCCATTTTGCTGCAAACTCTCAAGCCAAGGAGCCATCTGACGTGGCACAAATGCGGGCTTCTTTGAGAGTCACAGGCACGACCTCATCCAAAAATCATCGTGTCAAGGGCTTGATTGACAGAGTTTGTAACTGCTCAGTCTATTGCCTACTCAACCTAGAACCTGGTGCGGGGGAAATGTTCCAAGAACTCTACCATCTCTTCTTGGTAGAGCTGGCGCAATCGCTTGACGAACTCCTATCACTTTCAACGCTCCGGGAAGCACAAGCATTCTAGCGTTCGAACAACCAACAGGTTAGTCAGCTAAATCATCTTTTTCAAGTTTGCCTAGCCGTGCAGAAGCATCAAGAATCCTCATCTCTTTCCAAACTTTCACTACTCCAAAATAGATTTATAGTATATACTTACTAGTCTTACTTAGTATGATATCATGGTGTCAAGATTCCGATCCTGGAAAAGCAGCTCGGCCTCCGCATCTTGCATGGCCTGCAGGAATCGCAAAGTCTTCTGTATTGAGTTCTGGCTGTGGCTTTGCATAAAGCCTCGTGGTTGGCAATTGGTTCTTACTTTCCGACTTGGATAACTTTGCTGGTTTGCACATGTTGGTGGTTCTCTCAACGAACTCTGGCGCAGGGGTTCAGGCTCGGTCAACTCATCATGGGTTGAGCCGTTGTGCCATGAGAGGAGCAAAGTTCTCGATGTTCTCGCCGTTCTCGCACAACTATCACGCTAGTAGTAACAAGTGCCACGCTAGTAGTAACAAGTGCCTTACTGTAGTAACAAGTGCCACGCTAGTAGTAACAAATTCTGTGCAATCGAATTGTGCCTCTTTCTCACTTGGCACGGGGCCTGGAAAGGTCGCACCTTGGATTCTTCACATTTACTGACATGCGAGAATGAATCAGAATGAATGAGTTCAACCTGAGAGGCCCCTTGGCGCTGCCATATTGAAACATTGGAGACATTCACTGTGGCAGCTACAAAGGGACTGCTGAAGAATGACCAACACCTCACAAGTTTCACAACGTGCATGGTGCAGCGTTTGGCGATCCAGCGCCTCGTAGCCACTATCCACCACGTTTGAAAATGTCTGCCTTGATTCGGAAAGTCGGGTCGGGCACGGCAGGCATG